TACTAAAAGCTGAGAATTTGATTAACAGCCACTTTTTGCAACTACACTGAAGGAGGGGACAAATTAGAACAGATCTAGAATTTAACATCGAAAGGAAACCTCTTATGTATTTTACTACCACAAAAGAGAAACTGATTGTTCTAGCAATGTTCCCTTTGGATCCTGTGCCATTATGGAGATTCCCCATGGACCACTTTATAAATGCCCATGCCAAAAATCCCAGCCAAAAACCAAATAAACTGAAGAATAAATTTTCCCTTTGAGATTTCTTCTAGGAAAAGAGAGACTTAGCTAGAAGCATTTATAACCTAAAGTTCACTTTCACATAGAACTTGAGAGGTGACAAATGTGTTTCTTTGGCTATTTTGTAACCTGACCCAGAGCAACGATATTGCCAACATAAAAAATGCTGCTCTTCCAAGCGGTTATCAGGGCAGCATTGGGGGTGGCTGTTTTGTAAGTGATCTCCATTCAAAACGGAGAGGCCACAACAGTGAGAGGCCCACGGACCGCAAAAACAAAACAACAAAACAAACAAACAAAAAAAGAAGTGAAAACCCAACGTTTTGAGAAATGAGTGTCTGTCTGCTGGCTGAGACGGAGAAATGAAGCATCATTGAAATAATCATTCACCCTGGCAGCTTGTTATGAAATAAGGCATAATTCCCATATTCCAAACTGAAAAATCATTCAGAAGAGATTGAATAGTTCTACTTGGTGAGTCATTTCTGATAAAACAATGCATTCTTTAATGATACACTGAATATAAGGAAATGAACTCTTTTATCTTGTCCACTTAGAGAGCAGAGCCCACAGCTGTCAACATAAGGGGTACAGTGTGTACATGTGCTCCTGACGCTGAAACAGTCATGAAAGAAATTCCAAAAAAGAATGCAGTGATTATTTTCACCTCAAGAGGAAGTTGATTTGCTAGGAAGGAAAGGAGTGTGCCTATGCAGAAATATTAACTCTCGTGTAAGACTAATTATTTATCAATGTTAGCCTATTCAAATGACATCCATCATTTTTCACTTTCTCCCCAGATTGCTTCTGCTAAGTTAACCTCTCATGGCTTATCCCAACTGAACTGAGATTTTGGCTTGGTTGAGCCCCATTCATTATCATGCCCTTTAGCTGCCCCCAAAGGTGGGACGACGCCCTTAGGTGGCTGTGGAACAGCTAGACAAACACACTGATACACTTAGTGTATCAGTAAGAGTGCCACTGCAAAAAGAGAAAATGCAATAATACTTGGAACACAACATTTTAAGTCAATGTCCCCAAAGAGAAAATGATTAACCCTGTAATATGTCACTAAAATTATAATTCCACAAGATGAGTAAGGCCTGGGGTACTAATGTACAGCATGGTAACTAGAGTGAATAATACTGTGTCACGTACTTGAAATTTGCTAGGAGAGTAGAACTTAAGCATTCTCACCACACACACACAAAAGGTGAGGCGATGGAGGTAATAATTAACCTGATTGTGGTAATCATTTCAAAAAACATGCAGTCAAACTATCCATTGTACACTTTAAGTATATACCATTTTGTCAGTTATAATATATATAAATATATACAAGTTTGTCAGAATGGATAACAAAGCTGAAAAAATATAACTTCAGATGGTTTGAATTTTTTTTCCTCCAGAGAAGGAAATGCTTCATGACTCTGTGAGCCTAATGCGAGAATTTCTGGAGGTGATGGACCATCTTACTGATTGATCTGTATCCTAATTTCTGTTTTTTTTTTCTTTTTTTTTCCCACTTTGCCTTGACTCCGACTTATAAAAGCGTTGAAATCTCAGCTTATTCGATAGGACTCAGAGGAAACATTTTATTGACGCTGGGGTTAGTCCAATTGCTCTGTTTTGAAGATGAAAGTATTTTGTCCTTGGTCATGACTCTGTTATCAATTCACTCTCACAAGCATTCATGGCTTCAACTGAGAGGCTTTGATTCCTTGGGCCTCAGTGTGGAAAATGGTACTTAGTGGGTGACACTGCTCAGTTACTAGTTTTGGGGAATCTAATGCAGGGTGTTCTTTTGGTCAACCTGCTTTGGTAAAACCGAGCCCGGCTTTCTTCTCAGCAACTTCATGTGTGATGCCTTTATAGTCCTTCTGAAAGTATAAGTTGCATTCAAGTTGTTTGCTTTGGCAGCTCTGAACTCTTGAGTTATTTCCACTTTATAATAATAGCTGACATTTATTACCATTTACAAACCACTTAGTTATTATTAATACCAACCTACAGATAAGGAAACCATGGTTTCAAGGAGTTATGTCGTGTTCAAGGTAAATGAGACGGAACCTTGGTCTTTCCCTGATTCTGTATGCTCTTCCCATCTCCTATTCCTTGGGGAATCTTGCCTGCACTCACATGGGGGTTCCTTTTCCTCTCCCTTGCCC